TGATTGAGAGACAGAGTACAAGCTAGGGAGGGAGAGAGGGAGATACAGAGTGTGAAGCAGGTTCCAGGCTCTGAGCTGTCAGCACAGAACCCAATGCAGGGCTCAAACTTGCAAACTGTGAGATCATGACCTGAGCTGAAGTCCGACGCTTAACTTACTGAGCCACCCAGGAGCCCCTTAAAGTTTTTTGTTTTTTTAATGTTTATTTATTTATTTTAAAAAGTTTTTTTTTTTTAAATTACCTTTCTTTATTTTTGAGAGGCAGAGAGAGACAGAGTGCGAATCGGAGAGGGGCAGAGAGAGAGGGAGACAAAGAATCCGAAGCAGGCTCCAGGCCCTGAGCTGTCAGCACGGAGCCCAATGAGGGGCTTGAATTCATGGACCATGAGATCATGACCCAAGCTGGAGTCAGACGCTCAACTGACTGAGCCACCCAGGTGCCCCTAATGTTTATTTGAGACAGAGAGAGAGAGAGAGAGAGAGAGAGAGAGAGAGAGAATGAGTGAGGGAGGGGCAAAGAGCAGGCTCCAAGCTGACAGCCCAGAGCCTGAGGCGGGGCTCAAACTCAGGAACTGTGAGCTCCTGACCTGAGCCAAAGTCGGATGCTCAACTGACTGAACCACCCAGGCACCCCTTTAGAGTTTATATTTATTTATTTGAGAGAGAGAGAGAGAGAGAGAGAGAGAGAGAGAGAGAGAGAGAATGAACAGGGGAGGGGCAGAGAGAAAGGGGGACAGAGGATCCAAAGCAGGCTCTGTGCTGACAACAGAGAGCCCAATGCGGGGCTCAAACTCATGAACTGTGAGATCATGACCTGAGCCAAAGTCGGATGCTTAACCAACTGAGCACCTAGGCACCTGTATTGTATTGTATTGTATTGTATTGTATTGTATTGTATTCTACGGAGAGAGAAAGAAAGAGAATCCCAAGAAGTCTCCACACTGAGCACGGAGCCTGATGAAGGGCTCAGTCCCACGATCCTGGGATCATGATCTGAGCTGGAATCAAGAGTTGGAAGGTCAACCGACTGAGCCACCCAGACACCCCTAAAGCAGACCTTTTAAAGGGTCGTACAAAGGGGCTCCAGGGTGGCTCAGTCAGTTAAGCGTCTGAATTCAGCTCAGGTCATGATCTCACGGCTTGTGAGTTCGAGCCCCGCATTGGGCTCTGTGCTGACAGCTCAGAGCCTGGAGCCTGCTTCTGATTCTGTCTCCCTATCTCTCTTCTACTCCCCTGTTCTCTCTCTCTCTCTCAAAAATTAATAAACATTAAAAAAAAATTAAAGGGTCCTACAAACAAAATCAAAGAATGTGTGAGAGAGACCATATTTAGATTACAAAGGCTGAAATGTTATCTGGCTCTTTACAGAAAAGTTTGCATATATCTAGTCTAAAAGTGGTCAAAGTTACTCCCTTTAAAGAAAAATCAGGCCTGATCCCTGTTTACTGGGGACTTAAGCACCTCTGGAATTACTGAGATTTTTTGGTTGTGGTGATAATGTTGTTTCAGTAAAACCAAATGATCAGGGCTGACATTTGACAAGTAAAACCTAGGAAGAACAATCGTTTAAGTAAATAAACATTTTCAGGGGCCCCTGGGTGGTTCAGTCAGTTCAGTGTAAGACTTTGGCTCAGGTCATGATCTCATGGTTCTTGAGTTCAAGCCTTGCATCAAACCCCGTGCTGACAGTGCAGAGCCTGCTTGGAATTCTCTCTTCCTCTCTCTCTGTCCTTCTCCCACCTGTATGTGTTCTCTCTCACTCTCTCTCTCAAAATAAATAAACTTCAATAAATAGATGTGTGTTTACATATTAAATATATTTAATTATAATTATTATTTGATGTGCAATGGGGTGATGTCTTTACTCGGTATTTGATGTTAACATCAAAAGTTGACCTTCCTGAATTCATTTTAAAGCTCTAGGTTTTGGAACTTCAGGAGGTCACCTACAGAAATGGACTATCTACAGAAGTCTCAGCTTTAGTAGGGTAGAATGAAGCTGTGTGTGTGTGTGTGTGTGTGTGTGTGTGTGTGTGTGTGATCTAAATTTTATCAGTCTCACTCCCAACTGGGTGCACTTTGATCAATTCAATTCTGACAATAAGCACTGCCCCCCCCCATCTTAGCGATTTAGCATCAGATTCTATAGGCTCACTTCCCCAAGACTGCCCTTACTTCAGAAGCCAGCTCTAAGATTTCCTAGGACACTCACACTTTGGACTGGCTATAAGATTGGGGGTTCCCACGACCTCAACAAGTTCGATAATTCTCTAGATCCATTTGCAGAACTCAGGAAAGCTCTACACTTACAATTACACTTAAATTTTTTCTTTTTAAATGTTTATTTTTGAGACAGAGAGAGACAGAGCATGAACGGGGGAGGGGCAGAGAGAGAGGGAGACACAGAATCCGAATCCGAAACAGACTCCAGGCTCTGAGCTGTCAGCACAGAGCCCCATGTGGGGCTTGAACTCACGAACCGTGAGATTGTGACCTGAGTCGAAGTCAGACGCTCAACCGACTGAGCCACCCAGGTGCCCCTACACTTTTATTATAAAAGATAAACATGGGGGGAAGTCTGGGAGGGAGCACAGTGCTCCCATGCTGCCTGCCCCCCCGTGGAGTTAGGGCATGTCACTCTTCCAGGCACAACGAAATGTTCCTTAACCAGGATGCTCTGTTCAGCCTTGGTGTACAGCTTTTACTGGGACTTCATTATACAGGCACAGTTGATTAAACCATTGCCCAGTATGACTGATGAACTCCATCTCCGGTTCCCGGTCTTCCCAGGAGGTTGGCCTGGCCCAAAGTTCCAACTCTAGATTCACCATCACAGGGTTGGTCTTCTTGGTAACTGGCACTATTCTGAAGTTATCTAAGGGTCCCCCTCTACTCACCTGATTAGCATAACAAAGACTTCTATCTATATGTGTATACATATACATGTATTTTTTAAGTTTAGTTTTGCGCGTGTGAGAGAGAGCATGCAAGTGGGGAAGGGGCAGATAGAGGGAGAGAGAATCCTAGGCAGACTCTGCACTTTCAGTGCTGAGGCCAGCGTGGGGCTCAGACTCACAGGAGATCATGATCTGAGCCAAAGTCAGAGGCTTAACAGACTGAGACACCCAGGTGCCCCTATACATGTATTTTTTAAGTGTTCGTTTATTTCCAAAGAGAGCGCAAGCAAGGGAGGGGCAGAGAGAGAGGGAGTCAGGGAATCTGAAGCAGGATCTGTGCCATCAGCACAAGCCCAACATGGGACTGGAAATCATGAACCATAAAACCATGACCTGAGCCAAAGCAGGACGCTTAACCAACTGAGCGACCCAGGCACCCATATATATGTTATATATACATATACACAAATATATATATATATATATCATATATATACATACATATATATATATTCTTTTTCTTAAAATTATTTACTTTAAGAGAGAGAGAAAGTGACTTGGAGAAGGGCAGAGAGAGAGAATCCTAAGCAGGCTCCACACTGGCAGTGTGGAGCCCTATTCGGGGCTTAAACTCACTAACCGTGAGATTATGACCAGAGCCAAAATCTAGAATTGGACACTCAACTGACTGAGCCATCTAGGCACCCCACAAACATATATATATATATATTTTTCAAGTAATCTTTACACCCAACATGGGGCTCGAACTCATGACCGCCAGATCAAGAGTCACCATGCTTTGTTGGCTGAGCCAACCAAGTGCCCCAACCAGATACATTCTTTATTATACTACACTATTTGACTTGTTTTATAGAAGTTCATTTAAACCATGAAACCTCACTTACTGGAAGAAATACCTATTTTTAGTGTATAAAGACAGCCATAGGTTATTTGAACAATAAATTCGTCTTTTGATGATGGAATTCCATACAGATGTGGAAAGGTATATTCTTGTAGATTGGGGTTAATGAGTTACTTATTAAGGTCTCAATTTGTGAAGAAACATTAATACAGGACTGTTTCTAGGTACAGACAAAATTGCAAAGAACTGTGAAGATTAAAGAACACTTTAGAAATTTGTATTATACTGTGTTCTATTATACTGTATTCTATCATACTGTGTTCTATCTATAAAAATGGGGGCACCTGGGTGGCTCAGTCAGTTAAGCATTCCACTTCAGCTCAGATCGTGATCTCGAGGTTCATGGGTTCGAGCCCCACATCGGGCTCTGTGCTGACAGCTCAGAGCCTGGAGCCTGCTTTGGTTTCTGTGTCTCCCTTTCTCTCTCCTCAAATAAATAAAAACATAAAAATTTTTTTAAAATGCACCAGGTTGAGGTAAATTAGGGTAATTGTTATAGACTGTAATAAGACTTTTCACTTATTGATTAAACAGAAATCTCATTTACATTTATATTACACCCCCCCCCCCCCGCCATGAGGGGAATATTGGTATCAGCCACATCAGAACAGCCTGGCACCCAAAAGGTGGGCAAATAGTACAATCTATGTGGATGCACACAGTCCGTATTTTCTAGAAGCTTCCATATCTTGTAACTTTTTATTTTTAAAAATTTACATCCATTTTTTTTTTTTTTTTAAGCTTTTGTTTGTCTTTACTCCTAAGTGCTCAGTGCAGTTTCAGTTTTAAGAGACAACACAGCCTGGACTTTGGGAGGGAATCAGAATGGGGAGAGGAAAACCCATAGTGAGCTGGTGAGAGGTGACCCCCGGGATTCTCGAGTGTTTTAGTGAGGACGACTGGCAGAGGTGACAATGCACAATGTAACAAATTAGCTTTTCTTGGAAGGTCACAAAAATCAGTGATAAACTTGGTAAGAATGGTCAATATGAACCTCATGTGTATCATCAATTCTATTATCCACAGGAAATATTTTATTGTCACAGGCTGTTAAGGTAGGGACCTTATCAGTTACACCTTGTTACATGAAGAATGATAAAATTTCCCTTTGAGAGTCTTATCTTTATTTAATGGCAGTTAAGTACTAAAAAGGGGGGAGTTGTTTTTTTTCTTTTTTAATGGAATACTTGGCGAATTTGTGCCATCCTTGCATAGGGGCCATGCTAATCTCTGTATTGTTCCAATTTTTTTTTTTTTTGTTTGTTAATTTATTTCTGAGACAGAGAGAGACAGAGCATGAGTGGGGAGGGGCAGAGAGAGAGGGAGACACAGAATCAGAAGCAGAATCCAGGCTCTGAGCTGTCAGCACAGAGCCCAACGCGGGGCTCGAACCCGCGAACCGTGAGCTCATGACCTGAGCCGAAGTCGGACGCCCAACCGACTGAGCCATCTAGGTGGCTTTTAAGTTTATTCATGTATTTTGATAGAGAACCAGCAGGGAAGAGGCAGAGAGAGAGGGGAGGACAGAGGATCTGAAGCGGGCTCTGTGTTGACACCCATGAACCATGAGATCATGACCTGAAGTTGGACGTTTAACTGACTGAGCCATCCAGGTGCCCCTGTATCCTGTATTCCAATTTTCAGTATATGTGCTGCAGAAGTGAGCACAGGAGGCAGCTTTTTTTTTTTTCTTCAGGATTTCATTTTAGTGTAATCTCTACACCCAACATGAGGCTCAAACTCACAACCCTGATATCCCCTGATATCAAGAGTTGTGTCTCCCCTGACTGAGCTAGCTATGTGCCCGTTAAGAGGGAGCTTTTGTTTTTTAAGTTTTGAGAGAGAGTGAGCGAGCAGTGGAGAGAGAAAATTTCAAGCACTGACAGTGTGGAGCCCAACGTGGGGCTCAAACTCACAAACCATGAGTGAGATCATGACCTGAGCCAAAACCAAGAGCTGGATGCTTAATGACTGAGCCACTCAGGCTCCCCAGGAGAAACTCTTTTAGTAACATTTTGTAATCAGAAATTTTTGGTGTGGGAAAAACAAGGAATAACGATGCAAGGAATAATAATAATGGACTATGAAAACATCACATAGTCCAGGAAAACAAAAATGCAGAACTAAAGTGGAGAGAAAAGTGAAGTGAAAGAATTTCCATCGTCTGTTCTGGTTGGAAACCAAAGTGAAGAAGGTGGGAGAAAATAGAAGAGGGGTGCCTGGGTGGCTCAGTCGGTTAAGCATCCAACTCTTGATTTTGGCTCAGGTCATGCTCTCAGTTTGTGAGTTTGAGCCCTGTGTTGGGCTCTGTGCTGACAGATTCTCCTTGGGATTCTCCATTTCTCCCTCTCTTTCTGCCCCACCCCCCCAGCCGTGCTCTCTCCCCAAAATAAATAAATAAACATTAAAAAAAAAAGAAAGAAAGAAAGGAAGGAAAAGGACAGAAGAGCTGGGTTTTCTCCAGCATGGGTGGGGTCTTGAACCAAAATACTGACAACAGGTAAAACTGGTCAGGGTCTTGTGAACTGCCACCATGGAAGCTACTGCTCTGATGAGCAACACAGGTGGCTAAATTTCTGGAACAGGGCCAGTCTCAAGTTACTTCCTGTTCTCCAAAATGGCTACAAGAGGATTTGATTTTTTCAGACTGTGGCTTATGATCCATTAGTCATTCATGAAAGCGTCAGGTTACACAGCGACAAATACATATTCTGTGAAACCTTTCTTTTGGTTATATATGTGTATTTCTTGCTATACTTGGGAGCCACACGGGTTTATGAAGCTCTGGCAGGGCAAGGGCTCTCCCAGTCCCAATTACATCAAACACTTCACATTAATCTTGGCAGAGCTAAAATGAAAAAAGAGCCATACATCTCATTATCTACCAATAACAGTACCACAGTGAAGCTCACATTGTTATTTAAAATATATAATGTAATTATGGTATTGATAGTATAAAAATTAAAGGCTTATGAAAAACTCAAGAGGTCAAAGGGCATACAAGCAAGTAATATACAGATCATTTCCTTAAAAGATACATTTTAATATACAGAATAAAATCCAAGATTTTACTTTTCATGATCCCCCCAAATCTGTGGACATGAATACTCTGAATCCGACCAGGAAAGTTTATATTTTGGTCCAATACATTATTAGACAAGTTGTATGATCAAGTCCGGCTTGATTATCATAAATCATAGAAGTTAACAGAATTTACCTTGAAAATTGGTTACTTTTGTAGGTAAAATCCCCTATTTTTTTCTTAGCTAAGAGTTTACTCAACTTTAGCCTCAGAACCAGATTCAAAACCAGCTTCTTTCACAGCTGATCATCATTTTAGGTTTAATTTAGGCAAGTTATTTAATAGTTTATTGAAGATCATACAAAAACTCCACAATAAATAATGAAAAGAGTATGCAAAATCATTAGCCTCTGTTTGCAATACAGAAAATACATGTCAGTTCTGGACCAAAATAATTCCACTGAAATACAGACAGTGGCAGGAAGAATGAAAGGGTCTGTAGTGGCTGCGTCCAGTGGTTGGCCACAACCAACCACCACCATCAGCTACTGTGGCAAGTGAGGGTGGGTTTCAATTTGCAGATAAAGAATGTCTTCGGTTGTTTAAAAAAATAGAAACTCTAAAAAAGCTTGTGAATCATATACAAAAGCAGCTGTTTGAGACCAAGGTTGAGAACCAGAAATTGTGTGTTAGCACCGCCAGCAAGCACAGGTTCTGTGACTCATCTGCCCTCTTCTCTTGTGCAGGATGCAGACTCGATGTTGCACACACCATTTGCAGGTATAAAAATTGTCCTGGAATCCAGGGTTCCTGTAGGGTAAAGTCTTAAGCCCTAAGAGGCACCAAGCGGTTACAAAAGCTAGGCAATCATCCAGATCACAAGTTCCGACGATATAATAAATCTCGTGTTGCTTTATCAACTTTTTGCTGGTAGTCCTCCAATTTGTCAAGTATTTTCTGGGACAGCTGGAGGAGAAAAGAAGGGAATCGTTACAGAATAGGTCAAGGACTAAAAAAAGACTGAAGTTAGTCATCACTTTGACTTCACCAACTAGCTTCCCCCTAATGAAGATGTCCGCCACTCTGCTTCACTTACTCAACATTCAGTACCGGAGTCTGTTCTGTGATTCTACTGATAAAATTGGATTCCACTGTTCACACACACTATCCCACTCCTGTTCTAATGAATTTTCTAAACATGCAAATCACACCAGTATTTTAATAAATGCATTACTGGCTATCTTCTCAGAACTGGAGAGGCTACATGTGATTTAAGTAATCATTTTATAAAGAGATTGGAGCAGCATGTTAAGGGCAACAAATGTTTTCTGTTCTCCCCTTAATCCTTGAGAGCTGAAGAGCCAGCTTCAGGTGGGAGTGCTAGTGCAAGGGCTTATAAAAGACACCTGCCCCGCCTCATGAAAGGACTGACTTACAGCAATGTTGTGACTGTTGGCACTGTTCTCTCCCAGAGCCTGGAGAAGCTGGTCGATAGAAGAGTATGGGAGCCACACCATTGGAGCTGTTGCAGACAATGGAAACTGGAAAGACAAATATCTTCTATTTGAAGAAAATCTCAAAAGTGGACCATTTCTTCTGGGTAGTTTCATAGGTTTGGACAACATAAACTAGTAATTTTTTTTCACAGTAAGAAATTGTGTATGTATGTATGTACGTGTACACAGACACACATTTGTACCACCCCCACCCCCTCGCTTCTCTTTTCAACTGGGAAACTTGTCCTTTTCTTAGTGAAATCAAATGTATTTAAAAATTTTTTTAATGTTTTATTTTTTTAATTTTTTTTTTTTTGAGAGAGAGAGAGAGAGAGAGGGAGGAAGGGAGGGAGAGAGAGAGGGAAAGACAGATTCTGAAGTAGGCTCCAGGCTCTGAGCCGTCAGCATGGAGCCCGACGCAGGGCTCCAACCCACAAACCATGAGATCATGACTTGAGCCAACGTTGGATGCTTAGCCAACTGAGCTACCCAGGCGCCCCCAAATGTATTTTTAAATTCATGTCACCTCTTATCTTAAAGTAACCCTAAGGCCTATCAAGGAAAAATACACTCAATAAAACTCTAAATTGTCAATGAATGCTTCTATTTGCAGTCTGAAATATAGATTCAAATTAACTGGAAAGAAAAGTTTGGAAAAGGAAAGCTCACCTTTCAAAGTTCTGAATACTTTTCTGAGAGTTTAAGAGCTTGGCTTTGGAGACCCAGATTTTAGACCTGGCTCTTCCATTTACCATCTGTGTGAGCTTTGGCAACTTACTTAACCTTTGAACCTCTGTTTCTTTGTGGGTTTAAAAAAAAGGGGGGGGGGTAAAACAATCTCCCATAGGTGGCTGTAAGGATTAAATGAGAAAACACTTGCAGAAATTCAGCACAGTTTTGGAACACAGAAAATAGCATTTTGTTCTTAATTACCTCTTTCCTCTAAATACTAACTAAAGCTACGTTCCTTTGATGGAGAAAAATGAAATGTATTTCCATTTTATAAACAGGAAACTGGGAAATCCTACAGTGCCAGTCCCTGATTATAAGGAAAACTAGTCGTGAGGACTCCTGGCTGGCTCAGTTGGTGAAGCATGCAACTCTTAATCTTGGGGTTGTGAGTTGAGCCCCATGCTGGGTGTAAACATTACTTAAAAATAAAACCTTTTTTGGGGCGCCTGGGTAGCTTTGTCAGTTAAGCGTCCGACTTCAGCTCAGGTCATGATCTCACGGTCCGTGAGTTCGAGCCCCGTGTCGGGCTCTGTGCTGACAGCTCAGAGCCGGGAGCCTGTTTCAGATTCTGTGTCTCCCTCTCTCTCTCCTCCTCCCCTGTTCATGCTCTGTCTCAAAAATAAATAAACGTTAAAAAAAAAAATTAAAAAAAAAAAACAAAAAAAAACACCTTTTTTTTTTTTATAATGTTTTTTTTTTTTTTTTGAGACAGAGAGTGTGCAAATGCATGCAAGTGGGTGAGGGTCAGAGAGACAGAGAGAGAGAGAGAGAGAGAGAGAGAGAGAATCCCAAGCTGGCAGCTCAGAGCTGATGGGAGGCTCGATCCCATGAACTGTCAAATCATGAAATGAACTGAAATCAAGAGTTGGACACTCAACTGACGCAGCCACCCAGGCACCTGAAAAATAAAATCTTAAAAAACAACAAAAACAAAATAACTAATCGTGTAACTACAAATAGTAAAGGGTAAATCCACTATTCTATAGCTCAATCTACTTTCACATCCTGACTTTATTAGAGTGATAATACAGAAACACATATGCATGCCTACCTCAATTCCAAAGTACTGATGTCCTTTCCCCAATACAGCATCTACATATTCTGAAACCAAATCCACAGCTTCTTCTAAAAGGTCATAATTTAAGTACAAACGGAGCAACTCAGCGGCATCGACCTTCTGTAAAGAGTCAGAGATTAAGAACATCTACCTATTTCCATCTTACCTGGGCAGCGACCAAAGGATGCAGAGTGTCTAATTCCCTGGGATTTATACTTCTCAATATAAATAAATGAGCATCTTGGTTTACTTATCCTGGGACAAGGGTTGGATTCCTTAGAGCCCAATTACTTCTGGGTACCTTGTAAGACTTTATCTGTTAAGTGGTCTTCCTGCCCTGTTTTGTAATCTAAGACACATTTTATTATTTTTCTACTTCAGTGTCCACAATAGTAGTAAAAGTCAACAAACCTTCTCAGAAATGCTGAGTACTGAAGAGATGATATATTCACGTTAATTCCCAGAAATATATGAATGACAAATGCAAAAGAAGTTAAAAGAATTACCAACTTTCAGTACCTGAATTAAAACTTTTCAACTCAGGGTGAAACAAAAGTGAAAACAACCTCAGTTTGGAAGGGCTCTACTAACTATGTAATTATGCTTTCCATATTGTGATATGATCACATTTGTAACTTTCATCATCTTAGCTGCTTTTCTACTTTCTAATTTAACAACAACAACAAAACCCAAAAAGAAAAAAAAAAGATCAGTTTTCCTGATTTTAAGCATTACCTTCTCTCTTTCCCTATTCCACTCTATGTATTTCAGATATAGCTTTCACACTTAAGCATGCATTATTTCAAATTAGGAGCTTGTTAAAATATAGATCCCAGATCCTGGCTCCAGATAACCTGATTCTCTAAGTCTGGAATGGGGCTCAGGAATCTGTATTTTGAAGAAGCCCACTACCCAAATAATTCTGATGCAGGCATTCCAAAAACCCAATTTTGATAAAACTCAAACCCTGCTGCAGTTTTGAAAACAACTCCACTCACTCCTGTGAATTTTTTGCGTAATGAACAGTAAATACTGTGTCATGCATATAGTCATTGTTCAGTTGAGCACACAAGCAGGCATGAACTTAATCACTAACCTGTAGAACTTTAATTCTAAACACCCAGTACTTCATACAGAATTCAGGTTCAGCTGTTCTTCGTGTTTTTAGCTAACTTTAAGAAGTTGCCCAAAGTATATGTCAGTATGTTTCCATAAATTATCACCTCTACTTTTTAATCATCTCATGAAGTTATTCATACTGATAACGACCAGCTTCTTACTCTATACGAGTTAAGATACCACTTACCTTGTAACTGTTTATTAGCCAGTTAGGTAGAGGTACTCCATGAGACAAGAGCTTGTTGATTACACAGTGGTGATATAAGTTATTCCGAACTTTGTACCTTTCCAGATAAGTTGATAATAGTCTCCATGCTTCATCTGTAGCACTTGATAAAAGCAGAAAGGACTAATGAGTTCCAGATTCTTAACAGATATTTACAGCGCCATTCAAAGCATCTATTTACAAGGAGAAAAAAAATCTTTAGAAGCTCACAACTGAACTGAAAATATAACTACATGGCAACTAATATCATTAGGGTCAATGTGACTTAGGGGTAGTACTAGAAACCAAATGACATGGATTGTATCTCTCCCACTAATCACATCTTTACTCAACTACACAATTCATTTAACTTCTTTGTTACGGATTTCTAAAACAAGGAAATAGGCTCACATCACTGTTTGCAAACCCGGTCAAGCATTAGAATCATGCAGAAGTTCTGCTTTAGAAAATGAGGGCATGGGGCGCCTGGGTGGCGCAGTCGGTTAAGCGGCCAACTTCAGCTCAGGTCACGATCTCGCGGTCCGTGAGTTCGAGCCCCGCGTCGGGCTCTGGGCTGACGGCTCAGAGCCTGGAGCCTGTTTCCGATTCTGTGTCTCCCTCTCTCTCTGCCCCTCCCCCGTTCATGCTCTGTCTCTCTCTGTCCCAAAAATAAATAAACGTTGAAAAAAAAATTAAAAAAAAAAAAAAAGAAA